ACAGTGTACATGAAGAAAATATAACGTAAATGAAAATTGTAAGATGATTAAAAACACAGTGGAAATAGCCCACAGTGTACATGAAGAAAATATAATGTAAATGAAAATTATATAAATAATTTTTTAAAAAATAGCTATTAACCTTTTTTATTAGTTTATAATTTCTTAATTGTTTATTAAAGCCCTTTCATCTGTTGTTTGCCATTGAGTCAGAACCAAACCCATAGCTGACCCTCTAGTGAATTTCCAGAGGCAGGAGATTTCCCATCCTTCTCCTGTGGAACAGGTGGTAGATTGAAACTGCTTGCCTTTGAGATTGCAGAACAGCTTCTTAACACTAATCCACCAGAGCTATTTTGCAAATGTATCAGAAAGTAATAATCACAACACCTTTTTCTGCCATCCAGAGGAAATTTGTAGAGCCTGTTATGAGTGATGTATTTAGCTGTTCTGTTATATCCCACAGTAATACAGAAACCTCACAGCAATGCTGAAAGTTTTTAGGCTCTCTTTAAAAGCTAATTTTTGCACAATAAAGTGTTGATTAAACATTATAATTAATTAAACAGATACAATTTATTAACCAGAGAGAAATGTAAATCAAAACTACAGTGAGATACCATTTTTCTCCCACAAAGATGACTAATTAATCAAGCATACAACCAAGATGCATTAATGTTAAATGGTGCCTGGAATGCAAAAGTTGGCAGTGAAGAAGAATTAATAGTTGGAAAATAAGGCCTTGGTGACAGAATTGAGGCTGGATAACACATGAGAGAAGTCTGCACAATGTTTTATTTATAGTTGATATCTTTTACTAAAAATGATAAAAGGCAACTATACACATGGTCGTCACCTAATGTAATGTAAAAAAATTAGGTTTACTACATCTGTGGAAAGAGATGGTAGAAAGATCAATATCAGTAGGCCAGTGCCAACTGTGAAACAAACCAACAATTATGTGTGAATTAAATTTAAGTAGAAGAAAATGAAAACAAATCCACATGAGAAAAAGTAAGATCTTGAGTTTATCCGACCTGAATTTTAAAAACTATATTTGATGCATTGAACACTGATGACCAGAGACAAGATGAGCATCGAGATGACATCAAGTACATCATCCATGAAGAAAGCAGAGGTCATCAAAAGACAGGAAAGAAGTAAATATCAAGAAGGATGTCAAACCAGTCTTCAATATAAAGAACTATAACAAAGGGAAGAAATGATGAAGTAAGAGAGCTGCAAAGACCTGAAGTTAGAAAACCGAAAGGAAGGAACACACCCGGCATTTCTCAAATGGAAAGAACTGAAGAGAAAATGCAAACTGGTAGCAGAACTAAAGGATTCTGTGAGCAAAATAGTGAATGATGCAGGAAGTCTCAAAAGAGGATGTAAGGAATACATAGTTACTATACTGAAAATAAAAACCTAGTAAGCACTGATCCTTTTCAGGAAATATCATATGATCAAGAAGAACCAGTGGCACTGAAGGACAAATTCCAAGCTACTCTAAAAGTTTTGGAGAAAAACAAGCCCTCAGGAATTGATGGTATACCAATTGAGGTGTTTCAGGAAATCCATGCAGCCCACATTGTGCTCACTAGTCTATGCTGAGGAATTTGGAAGACAACTAACCACTTGGCCAACTGATTTGAAGAGATCTGTATTTAGTTTCATTCCTTAAAAAAGTGATCCAAAAGAGTGCATAAATATTAAACAATATCATTAATATCACATATAAGTACAATCTTACTTAAAATTACTTAAAAATGACTGAACAGTGTACCCATGGGAGATTACTACAAACTTGAGCTTAATTCAGAAAATATTATAAAACAAAAAATATCATTACTGTATGACTATACATAGACATCCAACAGACTGAATTTTAACAAAGTATGGGTAACGTGCAGAAGACTGGGAATTCCAGAGCATTTAATTATTCTCCTAATGCAAAACCTATACGTACATGAAGAGGTAGTCTTTCAAACAGAACCAGGGGATATTGCTTAGTTTAACATCAGGAAAGGTGTGTCAGGGTTGTAGCTTTTCTCCATATCTTTTCAAGCTCTGATGGCTTAATGGGAAAATTACACTGCCAGTCTAAAAGTACATGGTTTAAATCCACCAGCTGCTCTGAGGGAAATAGATGGATAATCTTTCCATGCAGTTTATGATCTATGGAAACCTGCTGGAGGGACAGCTGTGAGTCAGTTCTGACTCAAGAGCACATAACAATAACAACATACAACATTCAGTCTATATCCTGAACAAACAATTTGAGAAGCTTGACTCTTTGAAGAAGAATGTGACATCAGTAATGAAGACACTCATCAGCAACCTGCTTTAATGTAAATGACACAACTTTGCTTGCAGAAAGTGAAGACTTAACATACTTGCTGAAGATCAGACCCCACCCTTCAGTATGGAGTACATCTCAACATCATGAAAACAAAAAATCTTCACCACTGAACAATAGGCCGTGGTAAATGGAGAAGTTTAAATTGTCAGTTATTTAATTTTGCTTAGATCCATTTTTGTAACCCATGGTAGCAGCAGTCAAGATATCAAAAGATGTGTTGCCCTCGGGACATCTGTTGTCAGGGATCTCCCCAAAGTGCTAAAGAGCAAGGATTTTCATTAAAAAGACTGAACTGTGCTTGACTCAAGCTATAGTATTTTCATTTGCTTTATATAATGTGAAAGTTGGATAATGAATAAGGATGACTACAACTGAATCAGTGCTTTTAAAACATGACTTTGGTGAAGAGCACTGAATATACCATAGACTATTAAAAGAATAAACAAATCTTTATCTTGGAGGAAGTGCAACCAGAGTGTTCCAAGAATCAAGTATGATGAAATTTCATTTCTTATACTTTGGATATTTTGTTAGTAGGCACAATGCTGGGAAAAGTAGAGTGTCAGTGAATTGAGAAAGAAACCCTTAGTGAGATGGATCAACACAGTGACTGCAACAGTGAGGTTGAGCATGGCAGATATGAGGATGGTGTGAGAAATGGCAAAGTTCAAATCTGTTATTCATAGGAGGGCTATAAGATGT